CCTCCTCCTCCTCCTCCTCCTCCCCCTCCTCCTCCTCCTCCGCCTCCTGGCCATGGGGCTCTCCCCGTGCAGGATCACATGCCTGCGCCCTCTGCCACTGTCCTCGGGGGTGCCGCGCGTGCCTGGCAGAGGCACGAGGCGCGGGCCTTCCACGCGAGGCCCGAGGCGGTCCTCTCGGCGTCCACGGGCGGCCCGGCGACGTCGACGGGCACCTCCGGGGGAGAAAGCAGGCACAGGAAACACGGCACCCACAGCATTGAAGGGGTACTGGGGCACACAAATAAATACACACAAATAACAGGGTTCCCCATATTTTCCCATATGTTCTGGGCTTTTGTCTTCCCCCCATATTTTCCCATATTTTCTGGGAATCGATGATTCATTGTGTCTGTGTGTTTCTTTCCCCTCCTGAAGCATGCATGGCCCCAGATACAAACCTGATGAACTGGAGGTGTCCGTCGATAATCACATGTACGCAGTCACACACACGTTCCACTGCGGTTCGGGTGCAGTTGCAGTTTTCGCGCACGCTGCTCGCGCTGCTTCAGTTCCTGCCAGCAGACGATCGAGCACTTCGCGTGCGATTGCCTCATCATCCTTCCTTCCTACTCCTGTTCCTCATCCTTCCGCCTTTCCCTCGCCACCCTGTATATCCCCTGACCCAATCTCCCTTCATCCTCTTATGTATCCGTCTCTTCTCCTTTTCTATCTGACCCTCCTCATCTTCATCATCATGTTCCTTTTCCTCCCCAACTGCCTCCTCCTCCTCCTCCTCCTCCTCCTCAGTCGTCCTCTTCGTCCTCCTCACATCGTCCTCCTCACTAGTCCCCTCCTCTTCCTACCCTTCCTTCTCAACCTCTCCATGTCCCTGCCCCCTCTCCTGCTCATTTTACTTATCCGCTTCCCGCCCAGCTTTCATCATCATCCTCATCCCCATCCGCCTCGCCCTCATCACCCATATCATTTTCCTGCTGCTCCTCATCTCTTCCTACTGCTCCTCCTGCTCCTCCTCCTCCTCCTCCTCCTCCTGCTCGTCACCATCCATCCTCCCTCCATGTCTTGATGGGGCCCGACGACCCCCCCCCTGAAGCCGCAGTATCCATGCCCCACCCACAGTGGGCGGTGCAGGGGAATCACCTCCGCCACTGCCAGGGAAAGGGCTCCCCAACTTCGCACATGATGGGAAAAGGATCGTGCAGCCTCACCGTCTTTCGCGGGTGGACGCAGGCAGGGTTGAGCTGGACGCGTCGCTCCTGAAATGACACGGACAGGGAAGCGGGAGACGGGGCTGGGACGGGGAGGATCGGGCGGGCGCCGGACGCGGGCGCGAAAGTCGAACCGCCCGCGGAGGTGCGGCCGCCGCGGCGGCGGGGGCGGCGGACGGGGCGGAGAGTAGGACTGCGGCGGTGAACGGGGGACGGAAGCGAGGGAATGTAGTGGCGGCGGCTTGTGTGAGCATCGGGTGAGGCCGTGGGCGCAGCCCCTCCAGCGGCACCTCCAACTCAGGGATGGCTGGGGGACAGCTCACCACCAGTCGCTGGGGCCTAGTACCGCAGCGTCACTGTGCCCCTCGTTCCGAGAGACTGCCGGGGGAAGTCCGCCCCTCCGGGACCCTCCCTAGCCCCACCTCGACCACAGGAGGAAGGCCAGCAGTGGCTGCCTATCTGAGGAGCGGGAATCCCCAGAACAGGGTAGAGCTACAGCTGGGACCTCAACCTGGGGTGGGGGGAACAAAAGGATCCCTCCACGGGGGATCCTAACTGCCTTCCGTTCCAGGCGGACATCAGGAAACGCAGAGGGGGGACGGGCAGCAGGAGACCTCCTGCTCACCATCGCTGGGGCCCCGCCCGTCCGCACCAACCCCGGAGCCGCCAAGCGCAGCTGGCAGAAGGGCGGGCGGGCTGCGTGACCAGCAGGACGCCTGCACGCCCAGATGACGACTGGCTCGCAGTCCGGCGAGCAGGCTCGGACCTGCCTGGCAGCTCGGCGCCACAACTCGAAACCGATGACTCAATCGAGGACTCGCTCAAACCAGCGCTACAACTCCTCGTAAGATACGTTGAGCAAGCTATGTAGTGTAAACTATGCAGCGGTAAGCGACAACAGTACGGTGCAAGCGATGTGGTGTAAGCTGGGTGAAATGAGCTATGCTGAGTCGCCTGTGCAGAACCAGCTGCGCGAAGCACCCTTGTGCGGTGCAGGCTGTGTGTGGTGCAAGCTGTGCGGTGCAGCGTATGTGGTGTGAGCTCTGTGGTGGGAACCATGTGATGTGAGCTATGCGGTGTGGCGCCATGCATGGAGGAGGGAGGAGGGGGAGGAGGAGGAGGAGGAGGAGGAGAGGAGGAGGAGGAGAGGAGGAGAGGCGGCTAAGGAAAGTAGAGGAGGAGGAGGGAGGAGGAGGAGGAGGAGGAGGAGCGGAGGAGGAGATGGGGAGGAGGAGGAGGAGGAGGAGGAGGAGGAGGAGGAGGAGGGGAGGAGGAGGAGGAGGGGAGGAGGAGAGGAGGGGGAGGAGGAGGAGGAGGAGGAGGAGGAGGAGGAGGCAGGAGAGGAGGAGGAGGATGGAGGAGGAGGGGGAGGAGGAGGAGGAGGAGGAGGAGGAGGAGAGGAGGAGGAGGAGGAGGAGGAGGAGGAGGAGAGAGGAGGAGGAGGAGGAGGAGGAGGGAGGAGGAGGGGGAGGAGGAGGAGGAGGGGAGGAGGAGGGGAGGAGGAGGAGGAGGAGGAGGAGGAGGAGGAGGAGGAGGAGGCGGAGGAGGAAGGAGTAGGGGGGGAGGAGGAGGGAGGAGGAGGAGGAGCGGGGAGGAGGGGAGGAGGAGGAGGAGGAGGAGGAGGAGGAGGAGGAGGAGGAGGAGGAGGAGGAGGAGGAGGAGAGGAGGAGGAAGGAGGGGAGGAGGAGAGGAGGAGGGGGAGGAGGAGGGAGGAGGAGGAGGGGAGGAGGGGGGGAGAGGAGGAGGAGGAGGAGGAGGGGGGGAGCAGGAGGGGGGGAGAGGGGGGAGGGGGGAGGGTGCTGCAAGCTCCACGGTGCAGGCCGTGCAGTGCAGCCCGTGCGGCCGCCCACGGGGCGCCCGCGGGGTGCCCGCGGGCGGGCCCCGGGCGACACCCGGGCGGACCCCGTCGGCGCACGGGGCGCCCGCAGGGCGTCCACGACCAGCCGCCCACCAGGCTCCTCCTCCTCCTCCTCCTCCTCCTCTTCCTCCTCCTCCTCCTCCTCCTGCTCCTGCCCCTCCTGCCTCCTCCTGCTCCTCCTCCTCCTCCTCCTCCTCCTCCTCCTCCTCCTGCTCTTGCTCCTCCTCCTGCTCCTCATCCTCCTCCTCCTTCTCCTCCTCCTCCTCCTCGTCGTCGTCCTCCTCCTCCCGCCCACCAGGGACCCACGGGGCGTCCACGGGGCGCCCACGACCGGCCAATAACCAGACACGGGGAGAAATCTCGGCGGGCCCGTCCAACTCTTCATGCGTAGCCGGACTAGAAGAGTCCCTGCTGTCCAAGCACCGTATCGGGAGCGTACGGATTGACAGAATGAGACGAGCATCGAAAGACATAGCGATGACAACGAACTGAGTAAAAGCAACAAGCGAAATAGAGTACACTCCCTATCCCTATCCCTGTCCCTTGACCCCTGCCCCCCGCCCTTGGGCATCAAACTGCATGCAAGCGCAGGTTGGCAATGATGACAACATCTTCAGACTTCGGTGATCCCACCCTAGCACCGCAGGCGGCTGGGGGCCACGCAGGATGTCAAATAGCTCCACGTCGAAGACCTGGATCGGGTGCCAAAGGGCCACCTTTTTGTCACCTGCTCCCTTCTCCTCCCTTCTCGGCGCCCCCCTCGCACCCTCCTCGTCCGAACCCTCCCTCCCCCTGTGCGGAATTGCCCAGCCGGTGGAGGGGGTCCCCGCCCTGCCCTACCGCGCAGCCTCCTCTATCGCCGTCCCCTCCTCCTTCTTCCTGCGCGCCCCCGCCTCGGGCCGGGCGAGAGGGGGGGATAGCAAAGGGGGGGGGGTGAGGATCAGCTCGCGCAGCTGATTCTCCCGGCGCCTCCCGGCGCCGTGAGGCGCCCATGCATCGAGGAACGGGCGCCCCTCGGTGGGGTCAAAACCAGCGGCATGCAGCAAATTTCGTGCCCCCCCTTTCCCAATCCCCCTTGGCCCGCCCGCGCGGGCCCCGCCTTTCCCAACCCCCCTTTCGGCCCGAACCAGGTCGGGGGCACCTGGGAGTTCGAGGTGCGATGTCCGCGTTCACGGGCTCGTTGCGGTTAGGGGGGCCAGCCAGGGCCCCGAGTGATTCTGGACGGGGCCGCTCGGTTCTGGCGTGATTCTGGCTTTCCCCCAGTGATTCTGGAACGGTTCTCTTTTTCTTTCGTTGCGCAACCCACTGCAGTCAAAGCCCGCCAGGAGGTGCACCCCTGGAGGGCGGGCTCGGGCGCCGAATCTGCGCGCGCCCGCCGGGGCCCGCCGAGTGGCGCTCCCACGCGTGCTGCGGCCGTGCCTCCGCGGCACGCTCGCTGCAAAACCCCCTACATCTCGCCGTCGGCCACGCTCGGCCGCGCCCTGGTGTGCGAGGTCCGCTCTCCCTTCCGCAAGGAGAGGCCCCCGGCGCGGCGCTTTCCCCCTTCGGGAGGGGGGCCAAGCGGCACCTCAGAAACTTCCCCCTCGCCAGAGGCAAAGGCATCGGCTCGATGGAGAGCGAGCTCGCCGCGCGTGTCGAGGAGCGCAGGACGCTCATCAACCGCAACACGCGCTGTCTCTTGTCGAACCGCAATGGGATCTGGACATCTGGCGGACACTAAAGGCAAACGTCGTGATGCTCCCAGAAACGCAAAACGCAGAACGCGGAACGCAGACGCGCGAGTCCGCCAGCCGGCGGGCCGGCAGGCCTTTAGGGGCGGCGCGGGCGGGCCGGAGCCCAGTCGCAGGCATGTGAACTTCAAGAAGTCGCTCTCGAGGTCCGCCCAGAATTTGGCAGCCATTCCTGGGGCCACACTAGAAGCCATTCCTGGGACGGCAGTGACAAAGACGGGGCTGGGGAGAAGGGTAATGCCCCCACTCGCGGGGTGAATCTCGGGACCATTTACCAACCGACATGCTGGATGCGCGATCGTGTTCGGGGGCTTCGAGCCAAACGTCTTCGAGTAGTTGCAACGTATCCAGCTTCTGCACAGGGTAGAAGCCTCTCGATTAGACTGAGGACGAGCACGGTCGACCTCAGCATCGTGCTTGCGTGTATACCATCGATAGGGGGCGAGTCTGCGAGAGTAACCAGCATTTGGACAACGAGCAATTAGCATTGACATCCGATCAAGGGTCGGAGCAATTAGCATGGGGCATTACAACAACTCAAAGAAGCTTCCTCGGGATCGACTCTGATATTGGTGGGATTATTCAACGCGCCGATGGGGGGGATAGGAAGACGCCCGACTTATGCGCCGACAGGGTCAGAGGAAGGGCGAACGGGGGAAAACCCCTCGCGGGGTCATACAACGTGGGCGAACAACACTCCGTGTAAACATCTTACACTATCAAACTCTGGCCCATCTCAAAATGTATAGCGCTGAAACTGGACTCCGAGAGCGGGTTCAATAGTACAGAGAGTGTTGCGAAAGCAGGCCCGACAACGGCAAGTAATACCTAGTCGGGAACCTCAGGACAATGTGTCCATTCTTCTGAGATTGACGGCTTACCTCAGTGAACAAATGAGGTCCGAATGCCAAATATGGGATCGAGACGAACTGGCTGATGTGCTCTGACTAGACAATGGGAGACCTGACGTTCTGGAGACACTGGAAGCCACCATTCACGACCTGCTGCCGACCGTGGCCCCGGGGGGGGGGCGAAGTACAGCGACGAGGTGGCCAGTTCCCGCCGCCGGCCCCGCGGCGCTAGCTAGTCCTTTTCGCCCTTGAGAGCCTTCCGCTCTTCAAGGGCTCTGCGTCGTTCTTTCGCGGCCCGGAGCTCGTTCGAGAGCTCGCGACCCACTGGCGCCCCCAACCCTGGCGACGCGCGCAGCGTGCCGCGCGTCGCCGACAGGCCGAGGTAGAGGTGCGCATCGTCGCAGGGGTCGCTGACGACACCCTTCTTCCCGTCGCGCTGCTTCTTCGGGCCGACCTTCTCCTTGTGTTTCAGCTCGATCAGCTGCGCGCGCCTGCATGTCCAGCTCCGCCCGGGCGAGCTGCGGCAGGCCCAGCTGACGATGCGCGGCGCCAAAATACAGCATCTTCATTACCGCAGCGCGCTCGCCAACGCCGACGTCCGAGGGCTGCGGGCGCCCGTCTGCCAGGAAGCGCGCGTGCCTCTGCTCGGGGTTCTGGAAGCTGTTCGGCGATGAACGAGAGCGCCAAAAGGACGGTTCTCAGCCCGTTGAGCGGCCAATCCTCCAAGGAGCTCTCCTGCATGGCCTCTGCCGAGGCCCGGAGTCGCGGCGCCGGATCCCGAAGGGCGAGCGCGCGATGCCCAGCACCCTGGCGTCGCCGTCTTTTGATTGGCCATGCCTGTCGGGCGCCTCACCTGGCCTCGCGAGCCTCGCCATCGCGTCGCTGAGCTTGACCTACAGCGCCCCGCTCTCCGAGAAGACCTCGCGCACGAGCCTCTGAAGTTCCGGGCCGTCGATAGGGGGCCACATGTGAACCCTACCCCTACCCGCCGCGATTTCCGAGGGGAGGGCGGGGTTCACTTCGCTCGGGAGCTCCCGAGCGAAGTGAACCCCACTCTCCCCTCAAAAATCTTGGGGGGTAGGGGTAGGGTTCACATGTGGCCCCCTAGTCGAGCTTGGGCAGCTGCTCCTTCAGCCACGTGTCATTGTCGGCTTTCGCGCGCAGCGCGCGCTGAGCTCCGCTGGCCAGGGCCTCCGCCTTCGCGGTAGCGTCCGACGAACCGTCGCCAGCAACCTCGGGAGGTGGAGCTGCACTGGCTCCCAGCGCACGGCGAAGCTGGGCGGCGCGCACAAAGGCATAGTCGTTGGCCGCGTCGAGCTCGACCCACTCCACGGTGGCGTTGACGCCGCGCACGCTGGCGATCCCCGCCGAGCCCGTCTTCGCCGCGGGGTCTGGCGTCTCGGCCCCCAGCGCGACGCTTCGGGTAGGATCGGCCACAAGCCAGGCGCCAGCGCGCTCAGGCGGAGGCAGCGGCGGCGCGGAGAGGCCCGCTGTGTCGTCGCCGAGATGCGAGCCGCCAAAGGGAGTCGCCACGCCTCCGACCTCGGAGCCGCCCGCGTCTCTGTCGGCGAGGGCTGCCAGGGGCTCCGGCTCCTCAGACCCGCCTCTGCTGGCTCCGCACAAGCAGCTGCCTCCGTGGCGTTGTCCACGGGCACCTCCAGCGAGCTGCGATAAGCGTCCGCGCGAGCCACCAGCACCTGCACCACCGAGGGCGCGATGTCACCAGTTCGCGTCCTGCCGTCGTAGAAGAGGTAGGCGTCCGCCTCGCGCACTCCCCCCGGCAGCGCTCGCGAGCGGGGCAGCACGGCTACCTGTCGGAAGACCTCCCAGTCTGAGCAGATCTCGTCGTACACCTCGAAGTCTGGCGCGGCCACCACCCAATGCCCACGAGCTCGGCTCAGCGGCTGGCAGAGCAGTCTCTCGTGATAGCAGTCGTCGCCGTGGTAACGCACCAGCAGCCTGGAGCCCTCAGAGAGGCCCCTCCGCCGGCGCTGACCTCCTCTGCGCGGCCCGCGGTGGCGTCCAGCTCCACGGCCAGCACGCCCTCTTGCCCTGGCGCCGGCAGAGAGGCCGCCCGTTTCAGCACCCAACGCCTGGCGTGGTCCACCAGCAACACAACGGCGACGCCTGCCACGAAGCAGCCCAACGCTGGCGCCCGCGGCCGGCCGACCGTCGCGGGGCGTCGACGGACTCCACGGGCACGCCCGCGGCACAGGTCAGCGAACCGCAAGCCACGTCGGGGCAGTGCAGCGAGGGGCAAGGAGGGCAAGATTGCAGGGCAGCGTTGAGGTGGAGTGAGAGATGGGACAGCTCTCGGAGCACGCCTCCGATCTGGACTAGATCCACATGAAAGAGTTGAGCAACAGAGGCATCGGAACGGATGCTGCTCAACCGAACGATGGCGGAGACCCTCTCGTATACTCACGATACCCGTTCACAGGACTACTATCTCACTCAACGGGACTGTACGGGACACCACAGGGCACCACGGGACACATGTCGATCTCATTTGCGATATCACTATCGATCTCACTTTCTGGGACACCACTGGACGACCCAGGGCACCACATCGCTTTCAGTATCGATATCACGATCGATCCCACTATCGATATCAATCAACGGGACACCACGGGACACCACGGGGCACCTGTCGATCTCTCAATCGATCTTCACCGTATCGATCTCAATATCGATATCACTGTCGATCTCACTCAACGGGACGCCACGGGACACTACAGGACACCACGGGACACCGCGGGACACCATGGGACACCACGGGACACCGCGGGACACCGCAAGGGCCACCGCCGGACGGACGGGGTAGCAACATTTGTCTTGACTTCACCCTAGCAGCGGCGGCACCATGGGACACCGCAGGACACCGCGGGACGCCGCGAGGGCCACCGCCGGACGGACGGGGGGACATTTGTCTTGACTTCGCCTTAGCAGCGGCGGGTTTATTCCCCTCGCGCGCCGACGCAACTTCGCTTCGCCCGCACGCACGACAAAAACGAAACGAAGCGATTTCCCCGTTGGGGGTCTCCGGTCCACTGCGATCTCGCCCCCAAACATCCGATGTAAAGGGCATCTTGTGAAGTCGTTCATCCTTGCGATGCGGGTTGACTGTAGAGTACTTGCGCTGTCTGATGGGGTGTGCTGTCTGGTAGGTGAGCTTTCTGGTAGGATACCTGCGAGATGACTGATAGAAGCTGCGAGCTGGTGCCTCGCCAATTTTGGTGGCCTGAGAACAGCAAAATTGTCGCCATTTTCAAAGGCCGCTGGAGGGCCCTTCCCCCCCCTGTCCTCCTCCTCGCCCTCTTCCTCCTTCCCCCCCTCTTCGTCCTCCTCGTTCTCCTCCCTCCTCCACATCCTCCCGCCTGAAGACTTCCTGGTCAAGGAAAGCTGCGCCACGAGATCTCAAGCAGTGAAAACCGTTTCTCGGGTGGGCGCCGCACGCGCTGAAAAACTGAAGGCGCTGATGGCTGCCAGCCCAGCCTGGAGGCACTTCGCGTTGAGACCTGGGCACTGGGGGCTGGGCGCCCGAATCACAGTAGGTTCAACATTGAAAAAAAGCTTGAAGAACTGAGGGCTGATGCTGCTGGCATACTGCACAACCTACAATCCGTGAAACTCTCGCAAATGTTGGAAGCGAATGTGCGCGGCGCGAGGGCGAAAACCACATTCTGAAAACGAGCCGCCCTCCATCCGCGAAGCTCTTCCAACAATTTAAAAAAGAATACGCGGGGCTCTGAGGCCAGAATCGCATTCTGATGACGAGCCGTCCTCCACCCACGAACCGCGCGCAAGCTGTTTGAAACGAATGCGAGCGGCGTTGAAACGAGGGCCACATTTTGAAAACAAGCCGCCCCTCCATCCGTGAATATATTGCAAGTTTTTTGGGACGAATGCGCGCGGCGCTAAGGCGAGAACTAGATTTTGAAAACAAGCCGCCATCAATCCGTGAAGCTCTTCCAACATTTTTTATGCGCGCGGCGCTGAGGCACATTATCAAGACGAGCCGCCTGCCATCCGCGAACCTCTTGCAAGTTGCTTGAAACGAGTGCGCGCGGCGTTCAAACGAAAACGACATTTTGAAAACGAGCAGCCCTCCATCCGTTTCAAGCGAGAACTAGATGTAGATGTTGAAAGCGAACCACCCAAATTTCGTGAAGCTCTTCCAAACATTTAGGAAATTATGCACGGGGCGCTGAAGCGAATATCACATTCTGAAGACGAACCGCCCTCCATCCGCGAAACTCGTGCAAGTTTTCTTGAAACGAATTCGCGCGGCGCTAAAGCGAGAACAGCATGTTAAAAACGAGCCGCCTTACATCCGTGAACAGATTGCGAATGTTTGACACGAATGTGCGCGGCACCACGAAAACAACAGGTTGAAAACGAGCCGCCCTCAACCCGTGAAACTCTTGCAACGTTTTCAAACCGAATGTGCGCGGCGCTTGGGCGAGAACCACATTTTGAAAACGGGCCGCCCTTAAATCCGGGAAGCCCTTGCATTTTTGTCGAAACGAATGCGCGCGGCGCTAAAGCGAGAACCGTATTTTCAAAACGAGCCGCCCTCCAGTCGCAAACCTCTTACAACACTTTGAAACATGTGGGCGGCACTAAAGCGAGAACAACATTTTGAAAACGAGCCTCACTCAGTCCGTAAAACCCTTGCAACGTTTTCAAAACGAATGTGCGCGGCGCTCAAGCGATAACCACATTTTGAAAACGAGCGGCCCTCCACCCGTGAATAACTTGCACGTTTTTTGAAGCGAATGCTCGCGGCGCGAAAACGACAACAACATGGTTAAAACCAGCCGCCCTCAATCCGTGAAACTCTTCCAACCAGTTCAGCAAACAACGCGCGGCACTGAGGCGCGAACCACATCCTGACGACGAACCGCCCTCCATCCGCGAAGTTCTTGCAAAATTTCCAGAATGAATGTGCGCGGCGCTGGGGCGAGAACAACATGTAAAAACGAGCCGCCCTACATACGTCAAGCTCTTGAACATGTTTGACACGAATGCGCGCGGCGCAACGAAAACAAGATTTTGAAAACGAGCCGCCCTCAACCCGTGAAACGCTTGCAACGTTTTCAAATCGAATGTGCACGGCGCTAAGGCGAGAACCACATTTGAAAACGAGCTGCCCTCCATCCGTGAAGCTCTTGCAAATATTTGACACGCATGTGCGCGGCGCTCAAACAAGAACTAGATTTTGAAAGTGAGCCGCCTCGATCCGTAAACTGTTCCAACGCTTTCGAATCGAATGTGCGCGGCACTCGGGCGAGAACCACATTTTGAAAACGAGCCGCCCTCCATCCGCGAAGCTTGTTCAAACTTGTTGAAACGAATGTGCGCGGCGCTCAAGCGATAACTAGATCTTGAAAACGAGCCGCCCTCAATCCGTAAAACTTGCCCAACGTCTACAAATCGAATGTGCGCGGCGTTGAGGCGAGAACCACATTTGAAAACGAGCCGCCCTCCATTTGTGAAGCCCTTGCATTTTTTGGAACAAATGCGCGCGGCACTCGGGCGAAAACTATATTTTGGAAACGATCCGCCCTCCATCCGTGAACCTCTTGCAAGCTTTTGAAACGAATATACGCGACGCTAAGGCGGGAGCCATCAACCGCCCTCCATCCGTGAAGTTCTTGCAAGCTTTTGAAGCGAATGCGCGCGGCGATAAGGCGATAGCCACATCATCCTTCCGGTGCGGGGATAGCGCTTCTGGGTGCGGGTTGCGTTATCCTTTCGCTGGAAGGGGGAGACTCTTAACTACCGGATGAGGTTACCAAAGACGGCTTTGCATCAATGCGTGCGCAATCGGATCTGGACACATCGTTTGATCGAGATCAGTCGGCGAAGGCCGCACTGGATCTACACACATCGCTTGGTCTAGATGAGTTGCAGAGTTCGACGGCTGACACACCTGTCTGTTTATGCCAATGGCGCGCGCTGCGGCGAACGCCTCCTCGTGCCAAGAGCCCGTGGGAGTGGACTCGATGCATGATGGGAGGCAGGGCGCAACGGAACCGATGACACCAAATGCACTGACGGGAAGCCGTGATTCAGCACATAACGTGATGAGCTCACGAACGAGAAGCATGGATTGGAACCAGAGAAGCACATTGCATCGATCATCCAGACCAGTTCCGCTATCTTGACAGTATATTTCCACTTATTTTCCTTCAGCCCCCCCCCCCGATCCAGAGTGTTACGACCTGTGCGAGGGGAAAGCCTGGGGGATCACAAGAGACAACCAATCCAAACACCAACAGGCCCAGAAGGTGTGCATCCGCGCCGACTCCGATTACCACGGGGGAGCTCAGAAGTCAAAGAGGTTATTAGAGACTATGGGAAAGCTCTTCTTCGGTGACTTCTGAGGCGAGGTGATATGTACAGAGGCAGGGGGTGAAGCTCCCTCAGGATCTCTCGAGGTGATGTATGTTTTGGTCCCCATCGGCGTTGAGGAAGGATCGGGGAGGTGGGGGGCCCTCCTACGCTATAGACATGTCCAAGACGTGCTTCGACGTAGAGGATGAAGTGTTATTTCCGTGGGCCTGGATTCAGGCAACTCGTGCGCAAGTATTGGGACCTCGGGCATTGCTGCAGATACTGCTGGGGTCAGCGTCCCAGGCGTCTTGGATCAAGATAATCAGGATGGTGTCTGGGCCTTTCTTACTGTTTAGTTGGACGAGTTTTGATCCAAACTGAATACTTTGTTATTATTCTTGCGGGATAGCCTGACTCCCCGATCCCATAACAAAGTGATAGTAACCAGTCGAAAAGCAAGGTTACACCAAACCTCTGTTCAAGCAGCACTTGCTGCTAAACTGAGAAACGAAGCCGGTCCTGGGCATTCGCGGCGACCATCTGATACGAAACCGGCGTCAACCGAACACAACAACAAAACGAACTCCACCCACAGCGTTCAAAACGAAACCAATCAACATAATGATCAACTTCCAGGTTGGTAAGCAAGAACTGAACTGAGGCTCGGGCGAAGGGCTAGGGTTTAGAGCTGTGGCCGAGACTGCGGGGCTGTGGCAGCTCCAACCTCCATCCTGCCGCCTCAGCCGTTTTGTGAAAATAGGCCGCTCCCTGGAAGCAGCGCGCGTGCGTCGCAAGCAGTGCCGTGTCACAAAACCTGAGGCCGACTGACAGACAAGTGCCAAGGGTGACGACGGCGTAGGGGTGGAAGAAAGAGAAACAGTTGGTGGGCCCGTTTTGCACCACCACCACCACCACCACCACCACCACCACCACCACCACCACCACCACCACCACCACCACCACCACCACCACCACCACCACCACCACCACCACCCCCTACGCGGGGGAGGGGGTCCTCCTCCTCCTCCTCTTCCTCTTCCTCCTCCTCATCCTCCACCTCCTTCCCCCTCCACTTGATGGTGGTGGTGGTGGAGAACGGGCCCATCAATGGCAGGAGGAGCGGAAAGGGCCCCAACACCGGACAGAAGATACTGGCGGGCCCGGAAGGACGAGCGGGTCCTGGACCGCGGGGCCCTGCCCCAGGACCCGCCTGTTGTCCCGACGTGCTCTGGGGCAGTCCCCGGGGGGCACGCGGGAGGCCCGTAGAGCAGCGCCAGGGGCAGGGACTCTGGGGATGGAGGGGGACCTGTTTCCCACCCCCTCTCTTCTCTTCTCTCTCTCTGTCTCGCTCTCCTCTCTTTTCTCAAGGTAGGTTTGAGCTGTCTTCACCTTCTGTTTGCATTTTGCGTTGTGCTCGCCGACCCTTCATGCTGTGTCTGTGTCTGTGTCGTTTCCCTCGAGACCCGTTTGCTTCTGGTCGCTCTGCCAGCCCGCGGCCAGGAGAGACGGGCGCTGGCACAGGCAAGCGGAGGTGGCTGGGCAATCGGGAGACCAGCATGCCACCAGGCCTGCCGTTGCCGGGGTTCTCGCCGTAGGCGAGCCTCGCAGGGATCCTGGCACGGCCGCGCGGCAACATGGGGGAAAGACGGAAGACGGAGAGAGAGAGAGAGAGGCGTACATACAGAAATATATACATGGCGACTCCTCAATCGTTCTGTCACTTTCTATGAGTTCCAACTTCCCCCTGCACTGGGGGCAATCCAAACACTCACTCCGTCAACGGCGCCTTCAAACGTGGCGCACTTACACCCGGGTCACCTCAAATCAAGGCATCTCGGAGCCAGGGATTCCGAGGATGTCTCAGGCGAAACGGGCCTGAGCACCTCGCGGACCACGTCTTGAAATCCAGTTGTGCGGACGTCTCGAGCGAAACGGGCCAGAGCACCTCAATTAAGGGCATCTCGCAGTAGCCCATGGTTCGGAGGATGTCTCAGGCAAAACAAGCCTGAGTACCTCGCGATGGAGCCCAAAATTGTGAGGATCTCTCAAGCGAAACGGGCCAGAGCACATCGCGAGCCGCAAATCCACAGGTGTGAGTTGTGAGGATGTCTCAAGCCAAGCGGGCCAGAGCACCTCAATTCAAGGCATCTCGGAGACTGGGGTTCTGAGGATGGGCATGATGATCCTCCTCTTTTGTTCCTCCTCCTGAGACTCTCCCTCCTCCTCCTCCTCCTCCTCCTTCTCCTCCTCCTCCTCCTCCTCTCCAACCTCCCCCCCCTCTTCCACCGCCTGCTCCCTCGTCCTCCTCCTCCCACGCACCCTCCTCCTCCTCCTCCTCCTCCTCCTCGTCCCACGCTTCCTCTCCTTCTCCTCCTCCTCCTCCTCCTCCTCTTCATCCTCCTCCGCATGCACTCAAAATTGGTCCGCGGACCCCTCCCAGGTCCATCCAGTGCAGGTTCTGATCCCCGGATTGATGTTTGACGGTCCCCATGAGCCCATGAGTCCTCAAAGAAACCCCCAGAAGCATCCAATATGCATTCAAGGAGGGAGGAAGGAGGAGAAAAAAAGGAGGAGCAAAAAGAGGAGCGTCGTATTCGCCGTCGTCGTCCATTTTGATGTGAATCCGGAGCGCCCCGGACACAACATGAGAAGACGCGCAAGAAATCAATACAACATCGACAAAAAGAGACACCCTGAGGAAGTCCACACACACACACACACATGGAACCAACACTATATTAATTTGCGTGGGCCCCAAACAGCAAGTTATTGCACTTTGAAGGTGGAAACTCTGCGGTGAAAACTGTGCGATGTAAGCAACCAGTATGCGGTGCAGGCTATGCTGTGTAAGCTATGGTGTGTGAGGGGATGGACGCTATGCGGTGGAAGCTATGTGGTGTAAGCTATCCAGCGCAATCTATGTGTGAGAGCTAGAAGTGAACGCTGTGCTGATGTGCAAGCTATGTGGCGTCCGCTACGTCGCGTAAGCTATGCGCTGTGTGGTGTGAGCCCAGCACACGGAGCGCCCACGAGCGCCCTAGGGGCGGCACGGACTGGAAAGTGGCGCGACCTCGGCGGACCCACCCAACGCACGGGACGCCCACGAGCGTGTCTACGAGGCGGCACAGGGCGGCTCTGTAGAACATCCTTGGCGGGCCCGTCCGACTACGTCAGTAACAGAAGCAAGAGCTCATCCGTGTAAACGCTGTTTTGGGGCCAATCCACACACACATAAACAAAACGTCAAAATAATCCATTCACAGAAACGCAACAAGGATTTTTCGCAATGGAAAGCAATAATCAACTCATGCCAAGGAGTCCAAGAGAAAACAGTGGCTGAGCCACCTTGGTGAGGCTGCTCTGACCAGACATCCGTATTCACCCCTCTGCCTTGTAAATAAGTGGGTGTCCATCTTGCCAGGACCATCTTAGTATCATTCGCTGATCGTCTGGGGGGATATTTTTTTCTGTATCCCTCTGAATATATCTTTATCTCTGCACTTTCTCTTCTCTTTCTCTCGCTCGCTGTGCGGAACAGAAACCGCAAAGGCCTGCATGAAGCCCCCGCCCCTCCTCCTACTCCTCTTCCTCCGCCTTCTCCTCCTCCTCTCCACTCTCCCCCTCATCGCCTCCTTTTCCCCTCCGCCCTCCGCCCTACCCCGCGGCAGAATGTGCAGCAGCACCAGCAGCGGGAAGCGCAGCAAGAGCAGGATCAGCAGGCTGCGAGAGGCGACCCAGCACGGGCGAAGGTGCAAAACTGAGGCAGGAGACCACTGCTGTCTGCCGAAGAGCGCGGAGCGGATTGATACTCAAGGCAAGCTGCAGAGGCGTAGAGAATCTAGGGCGGGTGCGAGGACTGGCTCGCCGGCACCGAGTCGCCCAGGACCGGGAGCGCGCTCGCACGAAGACAGGGAAAATCAAAGACTGGCGCGGCCCTGTCCCAACAATGGGTGGAAGAGCGCCACGGCGCCGCGCTGGCTCGAGCGGGGCCTGGCCGCACTGGCAGACGACTGCACTGGAATGCACTGGGGGCAGGAAGAACGAAGACACACGGATACCGCTGCTCCTGGGAGACCTGTCCGGGGCTGCCTTCTGACCAGGATTCCGAATGAGGCGGATCCAGCAGTGGCGGCGACGGCCCCCAAGGAGGCCGAAAAGGCAAAAACAAGGGGAAGAATATCCGCATCGGCACGCCTTCCTCCTCCTGGGTGGCAGGGGCCTCCGGCGTCAACTGCCGAAGAGGAGCCCAAGGGCGTTCTCCACACCGGCCCAGCCGGTGGAGTTCAGTGCCCTTTTGGCGGTAGGTTCGTCGAACCCCATCTCCATCACTTTGTTGAGCAGCGCCTGCTGTCGTTGCCTTGCGCGGCCCGGGGCGAATCCAAACCGCGCGCGATCTGGATGAGGGAACTCCACGGGCAGCCCTTCTGGATACGCCCCCGGCTTCCCCTCGCGTGCTCGCTGTCGGCACGCTCAATGGGCAGGGCACTCGACGCGTGCACGTGCTCAATAGATCCACCGTGCCGAAGCCACCGAGGGGAATGCCCTCAGGTCCCCTGGAGCCCTCCATCTCGAGTTCTGCAAACCCGGCACCGCGCCTACGGGACGTAGTGGAGTGTGTCCCAAGGCCCACAACAAACTATGTGAGTGTTGAAAAGATTGTAAGATCAATTAGGGCCTGGACAACCAAGTCGCCGGAATTCTCGAGTGCTCCCAGGTGCTCTTGGGCACCCTTGGCGCTTGCCACGTGGGCCCCGGGGAGCCGAATCCACCCAAGACCGAATCCACGGTTGCCTCAGAGCCTTCCTCTCGCCATCGCTCGGACGTCCATTCCCTGTGTTTTCTTCAGTTTCGTGCGTGGCTGTTTCGCCAAATGATCAAGGATGCTCCTCGATTGTCCTCGCCAAAGGAAAAATTCACACGTCCGAGCGATGCCATGTCCTAGGCACGCTCAAAAAAAAAGAAGAAAGCCTTGGTACCCCTGGGGACCATCCTGAAGTTCTCTTGGGGGGGCTCTTGGGCCGTGTTGAAAAACCTGGGAGCCAGCCAAAGCGGCACAAACCTTCGGTTTTGCACGACCGCCGCATGCTCTGTACGGATTGTCTTCAGGCCGTCCAGGATGGCCTAAGAAGCCTGCAAGACACGCCCAAGAGGGCCTCCGATCCGAGGCTCCAATGAAGAGCCCAGGAGACTCCCAGGAACCCCCCAGAAGAGCCCAAGATTGGGAAACTCGAACTGCCAGTTGGAGCCCTCCACCCCAGTAGTGGCACACGAGATAGTCGACGGGCCCCGTGGGAGCCCCCAATCGCAGAGACCTCTAAGAGGCCCTCGGGAGAGGTGCCCCGAATGGGCCACCAAGAGGCCCGAAGGAGGCCCCCAAGAGGTCCTGAAGCCGCCCCGAGAGGCATTCAAGAGGCCCCCTGTCCGCGATCCAGAAATGGTGGCGAGATTGGTCGAAGGCCACCGCTGGATGGGGGCCTGGCGCGCCGAATGTCATGATCCAATTTCGCCTGCCCTCCCACGAGGTTCCCGGTAACCCTCAGTTCGACACGCCGGGGCGCACACGAGTGCACAAAGCTCGCTCACAGGCGCTCAAGCAAGATCGCCCTGGGTGGCCTACAAGATCTTCAAGGACGGTCACATGCAGCCTCCATGATGATCCAAGAGGGCCCCCAGATGCCTCCAGGGTCGCCACAGGCGCCTCCAAGACAGCCCAAGACCGCCTCACGACTACCCCAGACCGCCTCAAGACGGCGTAAAGGGCCTCCGAGGCGCGTCCAAAGGGCTCCAAGAGAACCTCCAGCGGGCTCGAAGATGCCAAAACCATTGAACTGCCCAAGGCATGGGGCCCGTCTCGTTTTCGAACGCATGTTTTAACTCAAGGTGCTTCGACGGATGTTCGCGATGGCCGCAAAATCTCTGAAGGGGTGTCCAAGAGAGGCCCACGACGGTCCAAGATGGCCTCAAGATGGCTCAAAAGACCTCCAAGACGGCCCAAGAGAGCTTAAAGACGGCCAGAGAGGCCTTCAAGACTGTCCTCAAGGGCCTCAACATGGCCCCCAGACTGCCCTCCCAAGAGTACCTCCGAAGGCGCCAGGCGGCCTTGGAGTCCCAAGATGACCCGAGCGAGCCCCAGCAGGCCGCCAAGATGCAACAAAGGCAAGAAGAGATCCACATGACGCCCAGCACTCCGCCACACAGGCGCTTCCAGAAGGCAGGGGGGCGGCGGTGATTCGCTGGAGGCGTCTTTGACACCGTTTGTAGGGCCCCAGACCCCCAACACACGGGACGCATTGGGCCTGGGAAGCGTGTCTCGGAATCCTGAGTTTGGTCCCAAGGGCCCGTCCTGGGGGTTTCTCCGGCCGCCGTGGCCGCCCCCGCGCCCCGCGCCCCGACAGCCCAGCGACCTGCCCCTCCCCGCGCCTGCCGCCGCATTCGACGCCGGGCCCGCCGCCCCACCCCTCCCTCAGAGGCGGCGAGAAGGGCGAACAGCCCAGTGGGGGAGGAGGAGAAGGAGGAGGAGGAGGAGGAGGAGGAGGAGGAGCAGGAGGAGGAGGGGGAGGAGGAGGAGAAGGAGGAGGAGGAGGAGGAGGAGGAGGAAGAGGAGGGGGAGGAGGAGGAGGAGGAGGAGGAGGAGGAGGAGGAGGAGGAGGAAGGAGGAGGAGGAGGAGGAGGAGGAGAGGAGGGGAGGAGGGAGGAGGAGGAGGGGGAGGAGGAGGAGGAGGAGGAGGAGGAGGAGGAAGGAGGAGGAGGAGGAGGAGGAGGAGGAGGAGGGGGAGGAGTACTGAGTACTGAGTACTGCTCTTGGAGGTCTGGCTACGTCATCCCGCAATTGTACTGCCTCTGAGCGTCGATCTTTCACCGACTGTCGAGCCACGCTGAATATGAAAGCGGCCTCTGGCCTATCGGCCATGGGCCGCGCTGCCCCTGAGTAGCGGCCCCTCCCCCCCGTTGGCGCGCAGCCTGGGGTGTGGGGTGCCACTCCTGAGGGGACCGACCTTGCGTCGCATCCCTCCCCCCGAGCCCGCCTCCGACCCAGTTCGACCTCCTGGCCGGCCTTCTGGCGCTCTTTCACGGCCTTGCTCTCTTTGTCGCACTCGGCTCCGCGCGCGGCCATGGCCGTGCCCAAGTCCTCGGGGGCGGCCTCTGGGACGAAGAAGGTCAGGAATATTGCCGCCTCGAGCGCCGCCAGCTGTCGACCATGGGTGAGTGCGAGGCGCGCCAGCTTCTTCACCGCCTTCTTCAAGTGCTTGTCCCCTGGGCCGTCGCGATCCCCTCCTCCACCGCCTGGGTTTCCGCCCCCCGCCAGCCCCGCCCGTCTTTGCCACCTTCGCCGCCGATGACTGGCCCGCGCCAGCACGTTTCATGAAGGAGGGCATTCCGATGTCCGTCGGCGCCACGGTGTCCGACATCACGAGGAGCAGCTGGCTGTGTAACTGCACGAGCAGAAGGTCGCCGCGCGACAACAGGCCAATGAAGATGAACCAAGATATGACTACGGAGATCTGAATGGTTGCGCCCCTGGAACTCACATAATCTGTATTGGTACGAGCTCGATTCTACCAGGGGAACGATACTTCGAGGGCCGTAAGCCCCACAATACCCACGACCAATTGCTGCCTGAAGATGTCGAGCAGCCATGATACGGTTGCGGAAAATCTTAGGACACACTGGGCATTCATTCGATGCTACTAGTACGTGGCTTAGATTTCGGACGTGGTGCTGGTGCCTGCGGTGCTCCATCAAACCTTTCCTCGTTGAAAATCGGCATGGGCATGTTTCCCCCCATCCTCCTTCGTGACCTGCGCCGTGCACGCGCGCGGTAGATATGACGCCAGCTCCTCGTCCTGGTCGGTTCCTGGCGTTGTGTTTCGTAGGTCCGCACTCCAAGGAGGAATTTCGTAAGTGGGATCTGGGCCGCGAACTCGTCGAACATCTAATCTTGCAAAGTCCCTTCGTACCTCCTCATCCTCCAATAGCAGCCACGGGCGCGACGATACCCTCGAGAGAAGTTCCTCCGAGTCGGGACAAGAACGCACCGCCTCCCCGATGTCCGTGCCCACCCTGCGAGCCCAGGGAGACGCCCGCTCAGTGAGTCCCTCTGTCGAGCATGGCCAGTGGGAGGGGTCCTCAAACTGCATATCGCCCCCGAACACCGCCAACAACACCTGAACGTGACTTTCCTGATGGGCCGCCCAGGACTGGCACCAGTGCAATCTACGGGCCATCAACTCCGTCCGACAACCCGACAATTCCCAATAATCTAGTACTTCACGTGTGGAAAGAGAGCGTACATGATCATCATCGTGCGTGCGCGCCCCTCCCACCAAAGCCGTCCTCCCCAGTCTGGCTAGATGCCTGTCCAAAAGAGTGCGCTGCTTATCTGTGAGTATGAAGGGTTCCATTCCAGTGAGCAGTGAGCCCTGGACTAGACCTATAAATATCACTCGTTTCCATTGTCGAGGCACGTTCATGGACCAAAAGGCACCCATGCTGTGAAAAACCTGCTGAAGCTGCGGCAATACGGCGCTCTATCTCAGGGGAAGACAGTTGAAGAGGAGTAATAACGGGCCCAAGGTAGCGGGCAATGTCTGTCACCATGCCTTCTAGCCGTCCCTCCTTCACCTCCTGCTCCTTAAGATAACGCTTACACTCCGATGCTCCTGGACCTGCAATGTAAAAGCTGGTCACCTGCTTCGATCAGTTCTGTGCGTAGCCTGCTGTGTGTAGCGAGCGATCAAGTAGTCGATCTATCTTCCTAAGGTCTGCAATCACATCTAACATAGCATCCCCGATTGGTAAAGGAACAACTCTAAGTGGATCATCTGCGTATTTCTGATATGACATGTCTACTGGAGAACCACACAAATTAGACTGAAGTCTATTTGTGCTGGGAATATGATCACGAACTTGCGCAGCCCATTCCTCTACCGGTTCCCGAAAAGCCCCCGCGAATCCTTGCGCGTTGAACGGGCCCCCCATCCCCCCCCCCCCCCCCCCGCCCCCCACATCCTGTCTTAAGCATGGGCGGGCCAGAGGTAGCACCTATTTCCATGGCGGAAAGGCGGTACCGTTGCATGCATAAGTTGCGATCTTGCGGCGCCACTTTGTCCTGGATCAAAGAGTCGAGGGGTGACCATTTCGTGCTACCGAACGCGTTCGACACGTCTATCATGCTGATAGCGCGCGACCACCCCGCCTGCCGAAGACGATGCCCCATGGACATAATACTCATGATAGCATCCTCCCTCCTCCGATGACGACCGAGCCCATGATCTTGGGGGGGGGGGGGGGGGGGGGGGGGGGTAGACATAGAGGTAGACGTTTGGCATGCCATGCCTTCCCCAGTGCAGGTAACGTGTGAATGAGTCTCCCCCCCTTAGGGCCCACCGTGTCGCTCTTGTACAGCCCCGCCCCACGACTGTGATGCCAGTACAAGGGCGCCAGATCACATCGCCTGATCTGGACCAAGGCCCCCTGGAAAATGTGCTGGCTATTTTTCACGCAGGGGATGGGGCCCGAATAACCAAGGCCAAAGTGATGGCGATACTCACGGTTCGGGGAGAGGAACATGCCCCATAGCTCCAAGGGTGCAGTGCCAGCGGGCACGGCCCGACGCTTACGACCTCGACGAAAATCTGTTCGTAGCTCTCGAAAGCCTTCCGCTGCCAGTTCGTCCAGGCTAGATTCATGGGCTGCTGAAGTCTGAGGGGGTGGAACGTCATCACGTGCTGCGCGCCATGTGCTCCATGATATGGTGTGTGTCAACGTACCCCCCCTCCCCTCCTGGACGTGCCATGTACTCCTCCCATACCTGACTGTCAAGAGGTGCTGGCCCTAGTCGTCGCCCGCCCCGCTGTTTGGCCCCAAACCGACACTTAGCAGCCTTCCGTGATAGGCACATTGCATCTGCGAGGCGACGCTCCCGCCATGCTTCCTCAATAAGTTCCACCATGAGGGCGCGCTTGTAGTTGGATGCTCTCCTCCTCTCCGTCTTCAACTGGTTCGATAGCCTACGAAGCTCCTCCTCTACTTCACCCATGCTGCTGTCGTCCACTCTCTCCTTCATCTCCCTCCTCCGCTTCAACAATTCTCGCCAGCGTGCACAATCGTCCGATCGGGGTGCAAAGGGTGCAGACCGAAAATGCTTCAACCCCACCTTCGTAAAGATACGCTCGAAAGCCTCGAACACGTGATAGGGTGCACCAGTGTTGGTCAGACCGAGCAGAGACTCTTCGTTTTCCTCTAGCTCTTGCGCAAGGTCGCTGAGAAAGACCGCCCTTCCCTTGCCATATCTGACCGCCATCACCAGGGCTGGGGTGTTGAGACGAGGAGGTTGCCGAGGAGGTAATTCCCATGGATCTTTGACGTAGGCCATCTCGAGATAGAGGGGGACGCGGTCCCTGGGAGGCAGACCGCGGACAGCCTGGACCTGGGCCCCCAAAGTACGAAGCGTGTGACAGTGCACGACCCGCTCGTGGTACCCCTGGGGGATGAACATATAGTCGATCGTAGCAGCACGAGAGGGGGTAGAGCATGAGAAGTACGTATACTCCAGGGGTCTGAACGTCGAAGGCGCACACATGTTATGTTGTTCCAAGACTTTCCTGACCTCCTCCCCCGCCCCTCTACGCCGTTGTTCTCGTCCTCTCGTATCCCCGACCGCCGCCGACGCCACCGCTTCCCACTGCCCTGACAACTTGCACAATCCCAGCCCGTCATTTACGTCCGAGTAGAAGATCGGCAGTGTACGAGACGGAAGGGAGTTGAGCACGTCCCCCCCACCACTTCGTGAGCGCCTGGACGGTCGCGAAGTAATTCCCCGCCTGTCCTTTCTTCGAAGGCTGCGGGGGGAAGTAGAGTGCGCCGAGAACCAGGTCCTGGGCACCCCGCTTAGCACGAACTGCGAGAGCCCTACCAGCACATTTCGGGGGAGCACACCAGGTCTGGACAAATATCACGCTCTCTGTAGCCACGCCCCAAGCAAATGGCGCACCCCGTGCTACTGTTGGTGAGCGGCCCCTTCTGGTACACCGACTCGAGAACCACCCTCCCCTCGATCCGACGACGAAGCACTCCCTCACCCCGCCTGCATGTCTCCTGAGTGCCTGCCAGAATAAGTGCATCTGAACCCTGAGTGGCCAGTAGCAGGTCATTCATACGCATCCCCGTCGCGAACATAGGGTTGAAGGCAATAATTCGGAAAGCCGATCGGGTCGGCGCCATCGGCCTATGCGAGAGGGGCGCGCCTCGACCCCCCGACACCGCGTGTAGGTGTATGGAACCCCAGAGTGTGTCTCCGAAACAAGGGAGCCAGCTGGGGCTGGAGGGGGAGGAGGAGGAGGAGGAGGAGGAGGAGGAGGAGGAGGAGGAGCGGAGGAGGAGGGGGAGGAGGAGGAGGAGGCAGGAAAACCTCCTCGCACGAACCGAACATCCGGGGGGGGGCCGACGCACGACACGAGAAGTGCGTGCCGGCGCGGCGGCCTCGGCCGCCCCACCCTCCCTCCGACCTGCGAGCCTCCAAGACGGCCCAAGAGGCTACCAAGAGCGCCCCTAGACTGCCTCCCTCCTCTTCCTCCTCCTCCTCCTCCTCCTTCCTCCTCCTCCTCCCTCCTCCTCCTCCTCCTCCTCCTCCTCCTCCCCCTCCTCCTTCCCTCCTCCTCTCCTCCTCCTCCTCCTCCTCCTCCTCCTCCTCTCCCTCCTCCTCCTCCTCCTCCTCCTCCTCCTCCTCCTCATCCTTCTCCTCCTCCTCCTCCTCCTCCTCCTCCTCCTCCTCCTCCTCCTCCTCAACCCTTAGGCGCCCCGAACGGGAGCTCGGGAGCTCTCCCAAGACCCAGCCCGAGAAGGTCCCGAAGAGCCTAAGAAGGCCCCACATGTTCCCAGGAGGACCCCAGGAGGCCCAGAGAGGCCACCGAGAGGCGCCTACGAGGTGTCCAATCTGTACCCCGAGAGACCCCAGGAGGCCTCCAAGATGCCTCTGATCCACGATCCAGGCACCGTAGCTGGATGGGCCGCAGGCCACGAGGTCGAGGTACACTTCAAAGGCCGCGAGGGCACCCTTGCGGGGGACGCGTCCCGAGGCACTGTCGAAGGACCCCTTTGACGTGAACTCTCCGTCCTGGTGTGAACCCCCTCGACGTGCCTCTGTGGTCCTGGTGCTTTCCTCTCCTCTCCGTCGTCCTCCCTCCCTGGGGCTTTCAAGGGGCCTCAGGGAGCTTGGAAATGGCGGAGCACCTCCTTCTCCACAGCGAACCAGGGGGAGGGGAAGAAGGAGAGGTCAGGGCCCAATAAACGGGGGCACTGATAAACCAACACGCTGGTGCACCCCAAACACTGCTGCCGCACCGCAGGCCGAAGCATCCCCCATCCTCCGCGTTCCCTGGCGGAGTCCTGTTTTGTGGAGTCCTGCTGTCTGGGGCCCCGACTACCTAGGAGGACGAAGCAACTGCATGCACATCAACTTTCGGAGGTCCGCGCGGATTTTTCGGATCGGCGCTGGACTCCCCTCCCTGGCGCGCGGAGCGCGTTAGGAGCGTCCCCAGAGACGCCACCAGGGGGCCCCTGAGCAGATCCCAGAATCCGCCGCGAGGACCTCCGACGGGTGCATGCTTGTGCAACGGGTCTTCGAGGGGTCGGAGTTTGCGAAATAGGGGGGGGGTGCAATAGCTGGGGGGTCAAACAAAATGCGCACCGTTCGCGCACCTTCGGGGCCCTAAAGGGGGCGCTTCTGTGAGCCCCACTCCCGCAACCATTGAATCCCCCTCCTCCTCCTCCTCCTCCTCCTCCTCCTCCTCCTCCTCCTCCTCCTCCTCCTCCTCCTCCTCCTGCCTCCTCCCTCCCTCTCTCCTCCTCCCTCCTCCTCCTCCTCCTCCTCCTCATCCTCCTCCTCCTCCTCCTCCTCCTCCCTCCCTCCTCCTCCCTCCTCCTCCTCTCCCTCCTCCTCCTCTTCTCCTCCTCCTGCTCCTCCTCCTCGTCCTCGTCCTCGTCGTCCTCCTCCTCCTCCTCCTCCTCCTCCTTCTCCTCCTCCTCCGCCGCCCCCCCATTGAAACGCCCGAAGGCGCCCCGCGGGAGCCTCGACGGCGGCGGCAGCGCGGGCCCCGCTGCGGGCGCTCTCGCGGCGGTGGCCTGGCGCGCCGCGGCGGGCACCGCGCGGCCAGATGCGAGCGTGGCGGCGCTCGCCGGCTGGCGGTTCTTCCACAAGTAGCGCGCCATGTCCGGATCCTCCTCCTCGGGCGTGGGGGGGGGCGGCGAGGGGGGGGGAGGGGGCGTGGAGGGGAGCAGGAGTGGAGCGCCAGCACGGATGTCCGTCGGCACCTGGGCTTCACAAGTGCAAGGAAGGGCGGCCTCTGCGCGAAAGGATACTTCGGAATGAAAGGGGCAGGGGTAGCTCGGATCTATATATATATATATATATATATATTATATATAATATGTATATATATATATATATATATATACAAGACTGCATTGGCGCTGCGCGCCATGCACCTTCGTCCTTTGGAATTCGCGCGCTAGCGGAGTACGAGCGTGCGCGCATGCGCGCGCGCATGCGTCTATGAATGCATAGTACATTTGTACATATATTATACGTTTGTATGGAAATGTACATGTATATGCAAATGGTCAGTGTAACTATGTGTGCGCATATGCATGCGTATATCAGGCGGCGGTGGCCTGACCAGTTGCTCATATCATCGCGCCACTAAAATGCGCGAGGGTCTCAGGAAAACGTGGCCAGACTACCATGGCGCAGTGCGTCGCCGAGGTCAGCGTTGCGAGGGCGCCCCGGGTGAAAACGGCCTGAACACCTCCGCTCAGGGGAGGGCATATCCGAAGTCAGCCGTGCGAGGAAGTTTCAAGCAAGGAGTGGTCTGAACACCTCTGCTCAGGGCATCCTTGAACGTAGAGTTGCGAGAAGTCGCACGCGAAACTGGCCGAACCACCATGGTGCAAAGCACCTCCGAAGGGAGACTTGCGAGAGCGTCTCCGGCGACAGTGGCCGGAAAACCTCAACTGAGAGCGCCTCGGGCCCCAGAGCTGCGATGGTGTCTCAAGCGAAAACGGCGGGACCGATGCGAAGCAAGGCGCTTCTGAGGTCGGAGTTGCCAGCGCATCTCTGGCGAAGCGGATTATGCTCCTTTTCGTTATCTCCTCTTCCCCCTTCCCCTTTTCCTTTCCTCCTCTTCTCCTGCCCCCCCTCCTCCTCCTCCTCCTCCTCCTGTTCCTCCTCCTCTTCCTTTCCCCCCCTCCCCGCTTCTTGTTTTGCCCATTCTCCCCGCCCCAGGCGGCGCGGCGCGGCGCCGCTCGGCCTGTCTGCGAGTCAAGCGGCAAAGGGTGAGAGAGCCCCCCCGAATTAGGAACGGTTTTTCCCAGGCCGCCGAGGGGGCCCGAAGGTAGTGCAAGAGGCGGCGCAGGTTTTGAAATCCCCCAGGGGCTCCTCGGATTCGGCCGGCCCTCTCCGGCAAGGTAGGCAAGGGCACCGACGGCGCGTCCGGGTGAGATGGCGTCGTGGCCCCGACGGTTTCTATTGAGTGTTGCGAGAAGCTCAGTCGAGGCGGGAGGAGGGAGATGAAGAGGATGAGGAGAAGGAGGAGGATGAAGAAGAGGAGGATGAAGAGGAGGAAGAGGATGAAGAGGACAGAATATGTGGATATCTGGGGCGCAGCCGAAGTGTCGCGGAAGAAATCCGCAGCAGAGACTTGGGAGAGCGAGGAGAGCTGCTTCTGCTAGACCTTTGGCGGGGCGGAACGTGAAACATCACGGTGAATTAGGAAAAGAGGAGGAGGAGGTAGAGGAGGAAGAGAATGAGGAAGAGGAGGAGGAGCTCTTGGGTCCTTCGGTGGTTTGAACGAAATATGGCCTCGCTGCGCCATTTGATACGACAACAACGACGACGACGAAGGCGACGACAAAGAGAAGGGATAATGAGAGGGAGACCGCTGTGTTGGGATCTCGTGGTGCGCCTCTCGGGGCCCTCTGGGAGGCAGTTTTGAAGCCTCTTGGGGGTGTTTTGGGGTTCTTGGGATCTTTTTGGGGCCTCTTGGGGGCCTCTTGGGAGCTCCTTGGGGCCTCTTGGGGGCCTCTTGGGGCCTCTTGGGGCTCTCTCCGGGCGTCTGGGGGCCACTTCGCGGCGGAAAATTTAGTTTTTGAATTTTTGGGCGCCCTCTTGGGTCTCTCTTCGGCCCTTCTTGGAACCCTCTTGGGCCGTCTTGGGCGCCTCTTGGGCGGTCTCGGAGCCCTCCTGGACCGTGTTGGGGCCTTCTTGGGGGCCTCTTGGGCAGTATTGGGGCGATCTAGGGAGCCTCTTGGGCCATTGTGGAGCGTCGGGAAGCGGGAAAAGCGAGAAGGCCAAAAACATAGAAAAAACACACGGGAAATTCAACAATTGTAGCCTCTCGGGGCTCTCTTGGGAGGCCTCTTGGGGGCTCTGGGGGCGTCTTGGACGCGTCTTGGGCAGTCTTGGGCCCAGATTGGGCGTTTTGGGCCGATCTTTGGGTGTCTCGGGGCCCTCTTTGGCCGTCGTGGGTTTTTTTTTCGCGTCGCACTCGCAGGACAGACACGGAGCACTCTGCAGGAGCGCCCCAAAAGGCTCGGGGAGGCCGAAATTCGTTTGGGGGGGGGGGGGGCACCGTGTGCCGCTTTTCCGGGGTCCCCGGCCCTGTAAAAATAGATACATAGGAATATATATATATATAGAGAGAGAGAGAGAGAGAGAGAAACAGAAAGAAAGAAAGAAAGAAAGAAAGAAAGAAAGAGAGAGGGAGAGAGGAAAAAACAGCAACAGAAAAGAGAGAGAGAGAGAGTAGAGCGAGAGAGAGAGAGAGACAGAGAGTGGAAGGAGAGAGAGACAGAGAATGGATGGTCGAGAACGACTCGGACCCAATTGCACCGTCTCGCGACCCCCCTGCAGGCTTTCCAGGATGCCCTAAAGTGTGCAAGTCAGATCGACGTTCTAAACCTCCGCTTTGAAATGTAATGCGTGCGGGCAACCCCAACAAGTGAGCGCTGTCAAAATACAAGACCATTCAAACTAATCATCAGCCCCCGTGGTGTGCTGATCGCGCTGCCCCTGCTGTCGGAATCACGATCAAACTTCGCACCCCGATAAAGCGTCTCTTCGAGCGTCCCCGATAAGCTATTTGAGGCTCTTCAGAGTCGCCGCCATCCCTTAGCTCAAGAAACTGGGGGATGATGATGAAGACGACGATGACGATGATGACGATGGTGATGGTGATGGTGATGGTGATGGAGATGATGCTGTTGCTGCTGCTGCTGACGATGCGTTGATGATGCTGCTGCTGCTGATGCTGCTGCTGCTGACGGTGATGATGATGATGATGATGATGATGATGATGGTGGTGGTGGTGATGATGATGATGCTGAAGATGCTGTTGCTGATGATGATGATGACGATGGCCTTGAGTGGCAGCCAAGGCCCAATTCGCTTGCATGTCACACCTCCGCCCATGAGAAGACACCCGCGTTGCAGGAAACCACCGCTGCACCGAGCCGTGCACGATGTCGGAAATCCGTCCGCTCGGCCCAGTTGCTAGGTTTTCGTGCGCAGTCACGACTCGGGTTTTGGCAGAATTGGGTTTAGTGGGACCTCGTTTAGTGATGTGTACTGGAGGACGCCCCCCACTCCCCGTTCCACTAACCGGAGCTGCCGTCACCCGAAAAACACCAGCTACGGCAGACCTGGTTTAGTGATTCTGGTCAATTTGGGGGCTCCGGAGCCCTACTACTAACCGGGTCCCCTTACCTGGGGTCCTGGCTATACCCGACAGTTGCTAGGTTTTCGTGCGCCGTCACGACGGCGGGGAAGCAGCTCGTGCAGCTCTCCCCATGCAGGCAGGGCTCTCCGGCATGCCAAGGGGTCTTCGGCCTCCACTGGCCCAGCACCTCGGGGGCCTCTGCCGCGGGATGCGCTACTCTGAAGGGGCCCTGGGACACACAAATAAATTAACACACAAACAACAGGATCCCCTATTTTTTCACATATGCTCTGGGTTTTTGTCTTCCCCCCCCACTTCCCATATTTGCCACATTTTCTGGGGAATCGACGATTGATTGTGTCTATGTGTTTTTTCCCTCCTGAATGGCGCATGGCTGACTGGTTCCCTGCTTTCCTCACCACAACCTTCGTCGACCCACCGCTGCGCTGGAACACCGCATCTGCAGCCATCTCCGCCAGACAAAACGACCATATGACGGCCACGATCGCGGTACCCATGGAGATCGCACGCAGCGTTGCATCTCGGATCTATAGCGCCGATGATAGTGGCACCTACATCACCGCCAATCGGGCAGGGGCACCTCGCGGACAAGCAAGTGGGGAGGAGCAGCAGCAAGATGGGTCCTCCTCGTAGCGCTGGGGCGTGATCTTCTCAACCGGCCGCTCGGCCCACTTGGCGCTGCTGGCCGCGTTGGCGCTGGAATAAGCGGCGGGCAGACCCCCGTTCAGCATCACCGTCGCCGTCGCCTTGTTTCGAAGTTTGGGGGCGCACAGACGAAATGATCCTCCTGCCACGTGTTCACTCCATCCCCCCTCGTGAGAGGGGGAAGAAGGGGAGGCTCAATGGTGAGGGGGGGGCAGAGGGGGAAACAGGGGGGCACGGATAAAAACAGCAAGCGCACAGCTGCGCGGACTTCCCCGCACCGCGCGTCCTTGGACGAGCGGCCTGCCTGCGGCAATGGGTTCATGGCCTTGACCGCCGGCGCCTTGGCCGGGGCTTTGGCCTGCGGCAGGGCGCCGACAAGAAGAGGAGGGGGGCTGGCACGACACAGGGGCCGTAGAGCCCGCCCACGCCCAGGCACCAAAGAGCCCAAGAGAGTCCCAAGGTGGCTTCAGGAGATCTCCATACAAGCCTGCCAGAGGGCCCCATATTCGACCATTTTGGGAAGCTGATCGGGCTGATCCCTCCTTTGCTTGCTCCACGAATGCTCCTATACTTCCCCGACTATGAGAGCGCGCCTGGGAATCGCTTCTGGATGGGTTGGTGGGGATAGATACGCGAAGCGCCAAAAGTCAGAACATTCGATTGCATGTCGGAGATCTTGCTGCTTCTGCGCATGCCACGGGCCCCGCACCCCTGCCTCTACTCCCGCGCAGCCTTGGCCCCTGGCTTGGGCGCCGCCGCGCCCTTCGGCGCCTGCGCTGCCGCGCTGGGCGGTGGACCCGCGGCACCGACGGCGGGCGGCGGCGGCGGCGGTGGCCCAGGTGCCTGCCGCTGCGGCACCACGGACGCCGGCGGCTGCGCCCACCCCGCGGGCGCCGTCGGCTGCGGCGGCGGCTGCACCCACACCTCTGGTTCCGACGGAGGCCGCGCCGCCCACACTGACGGGGGCACCTGCGCCTGCGCCGCCGGCGCGGCCAGGCGCTTTGCCTTCACGGCTGCCTGCTTGGGCTTCGCCTCCCTCGCCTTCGGCAGCGGCTCCGCCGCGGGCGGCGCCACCTCCGGCACGGGCGGGGCTGCCGGCCGCGCCTCTGCCACCGCTGGCGGAGGCGGCTTGGCAGTCACCGCTGGCGGAGGCGGCTTGGCGGCCACCGCTGGCGGAGGCGGCTTGGCGGCCACCGCTGGCGGAGGCGGCTTGGTGGCCACCGCGGGCGGAGGCGGCTTGGTGGCCACCGCGGGCGGAGGCGGCTTGGCGGTCACCGCGGGCGGAGGCGGCTTGGCGGTCACCGCGGGCGGAGGCGGTTTGGCGGCCACCGCCTTGGGCGGCGCCTTCGCCACGGCGACCTTGCGAGGAGAGAGGGCGGAGCAGGCAGGAGGGGATGGAAAGATACTGTTTCGGGAGAGGGGGGCAGGCCAGTTGGACGCGCTCGCGCGAGATCTGACATCCTGCCCCTTCCGCCAGTCCCGACCTGTTGCGTCAAACAGCTTTCTATTCGCCAAATCGTATGTCGCATCGGGCCTTGATCCCTAGATGGCATTGTACCGCTTGACCCACCGTCTCATGTACAACGAGCGACGGGCCACATAGAACATGGAAGCGTGCAGGTAGGTCGGGCGACGCCTGTGTGGAGAGACGAAGCGCACAATCGATTCAAACCATGTGAAGCCGAGACATCGAAGCCCCCACTGCACAGAGCACGGGGCGGGGGAGAAGTGACGGAGGAAGACGAGAGAACAATCACATCGACATTCGGAATGCGTATGTTCCCGCAGGGCGCCCTAGCATCTTAGCCATGCTGTTGTCCATCCTTCGTGCATTTCATGGTTGAAACTGTTGTAGATAGGGAAAGCCCGAGGGGCTTGCCTCGCTACCGTGCATCCTTATGACTGCATTTCAACATCTCACTTGAATGCCACCGATTAATCACTATCAGCGGGGATGTCATTCCGAAGATCCGAATACGTCTCAGATGGTAGCGCCACGTGCAACACACAACGTTCCCCTCCTGAGCCAGCCCCCCTGATCGGGGCTCCTGCTCCTCGTACTCCTCGTCATCGTCCTGCTCCTGTTCCTCGTCATCGTGGGCTGCGCAATCGGCCAGCTCCCGCTCGTCCTCGATCTCCTCGTCCTCCTCGACCTTCTCGTCCTCCCTCCTCTCTCCTCGTCCTCGTCCGCGAGTGTCCTCCTCCCTCCTCCCTCCTCCTCCTCCCTCCTCCTCCTCCTCCCTCCCACCCTCCCTCCCTCCCTCCCTCCCTCCCTCCCTTCCCCCCTCCCTCCCCCCCTCCCTTCCTCCCTCCCTCCCTCCCTCCCTCCCTCTCTCCCTCCCCACCCTCTCCCGGGCCGGGGCGACCGGCGGCGGCGGAGGGCGCGGCTCCCGCTCCCGGGGCAGCGCGGGGGCCTGCGGCCGCGCGGGCGGCTCGGCCTCGCGCCCCTCCGAGTCGGAGTCCTGCATCGCCGAGAAGGCGGTCCTCTGGGCGTGGTTGGACAGGGAGGTCCTGCCGGGGCAGAGGGTGAGGAGGCAACTATACTGGGAGGTTTTCGTCGGAGAGATTAGAGAGGATGAAGCCCAATTGGGGGGCTGCTGTGCTGGAGAGGACCTCGGATTAAGCCGGACTGAGCGGGATTGAGCCGGATGAAGCGGGATTAAGCCGGATTTCGGACCAGGGCAAAAACAGAATTTGACTTCCCAGGAGTTGCATCCGAACGAGGGGAGGGAGGGTCGGGGAGAGGGGAGGGCAAGCCAGGTGCGCTCGCGTCACGCATGACGTCCTGCCCCACCCATGCATCCCTTCTGCCGATGCTCAGCCTTCTCCGCGGGCGGGCGTCATGGCGGAGCTGCACCCCCCAGAGGGACGCCCATCATGTCGTGTGGAATCAGGAAATGGAAGCTGTGTACATTGGAGGAGGACGCGACAGATGAGCAGGAAGATGAGCAGGAGGAAGAGGAGGGGAGAAAGAGGAGGGGGAGGAGGAGGAGGAGGAGGAGGAGCAGAAGGAGGAGACCAAGGAGGAACAACAGTAGCAGGAACTAATTCAGGAATCGAAGGAGCGGGAGGAGCCGGAGAGGGGAAGTCCGAGGGAAAAAAGCAAGGCAACAACGACGAGAAAAGGCTCAGGTCCAGAACAGTAACCCGCGCTGGGGCGAGATCGCCATTTTGAACGACAGGGTAAAAGCACCGACCCTACAAAAACAATGCTGCTGCAGAAACGCCATCTTCAAACACAAAAAACGGTCGGATTGTGGAAGCGCATGTACACTAATGTATTTTCGCAAAGATACAGGTGCTAGGAATGTTTCAGAAGAAGGGCCCAGACCAGCTGCAACAAGTGGTCATAGCAGCGGGCCCGCGTTATGCTGATGGTACCATGCAAAGAGGCGCAATGTGGTATGACAGCTACATGGGTGGCTCTCACGTTCAGCGATCCAATGCCCCTCCTCCTCCAGGGGGAACGATTTCCGGTCACCTGAAAGGCGTGCACAAGGGAGGGAAACGACTGCCAATGTGAATATTTCTGGGGGGTCCGATGAGCCACCGCTATGAAGAACCACCTATCTGCGGCGACAACTGCGCACCGCGAGGCCCCGCCTGGATCTGCGTGACAGCCGCCTCCGTTGGACCTCCCAGGAGCGCACGAAAGTGGCGACAACTGCGCAGTTGACAGCCTCCCAGGGAGCAGCGAGGAGCAGCGAGGTCTCGCCTGCCCAGCGCCACCGCTGGACCTCCCAGGAGGCCACGAAAAGGGGCACAATTGCGCACATGGCAGCCTCCCAGGCAGCCGAGAGGTCTCGCCATCGCCGGCCCACCGCTTCCGCTGGTCCTCCCAGGAGGCCACGAAAGTGGCGACAATTGCGCAGTTGCCAGCCTCCGAGGGAGCCGCCGCCGTCAGGCAGAAGGAGAAAGGAGGAGGATGCAGGAGGCAGGAGGAGGGTGGAGGAGGGGGAGAAGGAGAAGGATGGAGACCATAATGCTCGACTCAAAACGAAACGAATGCTCTGGTCAAAACGAGAACCCAACGCACAGCAGGGCGGGGCACCTCCAGCACGTAGTCTGGGGAGAGCGGAGAGGAGTATTCATATCAAACCAGTTGCACGTGCGCCATACAGTGCGGGTCGATGCACAAGAAACCCACCGCAAGAAACCCAACTCTGAAATCCGCCGAGGTTTCTTGGTCCAGGTTTGCGTTTCTTGGTTTCTTGCACTTCGGTTGCAAACGAAGAAACCCAGGGCACCCTGGCCCGAGCTGTTTCTTTACTGATGGACGCGCGCGCCCCGAAATTAACCGACGCCCAAGAAACACAGGGCGCCCTGGCATGCGCAATTTCTTCGAGATTGCGGCGACCTTCCGCGCCGAACGCCAGCCAAAGAAACCCAGTGAACCCTTACGAAACGTAGGGTGTTTCTTGTCATGGTCCCCCACTGTACCTGACATCCGACCCACTCCATCCATCCCTCCCCACGGCGCGGATCAATCTCTATCCATCGACGGGTGTCCCAGCAGATCTGGAATTTCAAAGGACCCCATCTTGTCATGCGCAATCAGAACGGGGAGCTGTGTACATTCGGGAAGGAGGAGGATGTGGATTAACATGATTAACATGAGGTGAGGATCGGCGGGATGACGTGAAGGAGGATGGCGAAGGAGGCGTTGGATGAGGATGAACAGCAGTAGCAAGAGCAGGAATAGCGGGAGGAGCAGGGGGACCAGGGTACAGCGTGGGGGAAGACATGACCAGGGCGAAAATGACGACGAAAGACTGAGGAATCCAGAAGTGTGACCTGGGCCGAGGCGAGCGGCGAGAGCGCCACTCGGAAAGACGCGGACAACGCACCAGTCCTGAAATGATGCCAGCGCTGCAGCGGGAGCACACATCTGAAAGATCGAAAACGGTCGGATTGAGAAGGCAGAGAAAGAGAGAGAGAGAGAGAGAGAGAAAGAAAGAGAGAGAGAGAGAGAGAAAGAGAGAGAACGCGTTTCACGGGGGGGGCGCCTGGCTCGAACACGTCGGCCCCGCCCCACTCCCGGAGACCAGAGAGGGAGAGGGGGGCCCAACAACTCCCCGCCCCTCTCCAGAAACCCAGAAGGGCCCTCACATGGGAGGAGGGAGGAGGAGGAGGAGGAGGAGGAGGAGGAGGAGGAGGAGGAGTAATGGGCGCGCGGGCAGCGCGGCAGCGCGGCGCCGAGGCGTCGCGAAGGACCGCGCGGGCAACCACCGAGCCCCAGCCGGCGCCCTGGGACAGCGGGGGGGGCTCCAGGCGCCTGCGAAGACTCACGGGCGGGGCGGCGGTGCAGAGCAGCAGCGGCGTCCCCAAACCCCCTCGAGCAATGCAAAAATCATTAGGGAAGGTTTTCCCAAACTTTCGGCCTCCGGGGGCCCTCGCCGGGCCTCGGGAGCGTCAAGAAACGACTCAGGATGCAAAGCCGGTCATGGGGAAAGGGTCGGGACCTCTGGGGGTCGACGCAACGAACAAAAATCATTACGTCGGGGTCTGGGTCGGGGGCGCGGCCCGCAGGGCGGGGCGGCGCCTGAACGTGGCGGGGCACGAGGGCTCCGGCGGCCCGAAGGGGCAGACCGACATCCGACAGGGTCTTGCGGGCGGGGCAGGGCGGAGGTGGGCGCCGAACTGGCGCTGGTCAAACAGCCCGCCCCGGCCCGGCTAAAAAAAACTGTGGCGGGCGCCAGCGCCCCCAGCCCGCTAGGCAGGGCGGGGGGCGGTGGAGGGGCGCCGAAAAGGTGCGGGGCGGGGGAAGCGAGAGGCGGCCCCCTGCCCAGGTGGACAAGGTGGGCGGGGGAGCGGGGGCGCTCTCGGCCCGGTTGGGGCGCAGGCGAGCGCGCCTGGTGGGCCAGAGTAGCACTGCGCGCCGCTCAGATGGCAGGCGGGGAGCAGGGCGAAGGGAAGCACCGAACAGGTGCAAATCAGTAAAGAGAAGGGAGAGACCGCCCCCCAGCCCGGGTGGATCGGGCGGGCGTTGCGGGGGAGCCGGGGGCGCCCACCGGGGTTCGGATGGACGGCCGCGGGCGCACCCCGGTTCAAAACTGCAGCTCAGTCTCGAGGGGCGCGGCGGGCGTGGCCGAGACTGAGGAGAGCGGGTCGCCGCCCGCGAGAGTCTCGGGCAGGCGCGGTTTGGCTCAGCAGCGGGCCGAGGAGCTTCAGCTGGACGTGAAGTGGCGGTGGCGCGGCGGGAAACTACAGGGCGCGCCCTGGGTGGGCGCAGCGCGCGCGCTGGGCAGCCGCTGGTGGGGCGGCGGGCCCGGGAGGGTGGGCAGGGCGTCGGCGCACGCTGCCGCAGCCTTGGGAGGGCTCTGCCCGTGCGGGGCCGCGGGGCGGCGGTGCCCACGAGCCCTGTCGCCCGATGGTCCGGGAGGTGCTTTAGGGGCATGGCGTGCGGCTGCTGGAAAGGCGCGGTCAGGTTGGGTCGGCGCGCCGCCTGCCATTCCACGATTGGTCCTGGCCCTTGCATTCGCCCATGCCCTTCCCATGCAACTGCTCGATCCCGCGCGCTTGCGGCGGGGCGAGGGTCAGGGTCGTCGCTGGATTGGCCTGCGGTCCGAGGGGTCTCGCGCGCGCGCTCGCCGTCGCGTCCATCGGTCGCGCCCCCTCTCGCCGCCAGCTGCGCGCCCGGGCTTGGATCGGCGCTGCCGCCGCCGCTTGCCGCGGCGGGGGTCTGCGGCGCCGGCTGGCGGGCTGGCGGGCGCCACTTGAGCTCGTCGTCGGCGGCGGGGCTGCCAGGTGGCCCGGGCTCGCACGCGCCGTCGAAATCGATTTCGCTGCGCGCTGGGGGCGGCGCGGGCAGGCGGCGGCCCCCAGCCGGGGGCGGCCGCCTCTGGGTGGGCCCTTCGGCGGGGGACGGGCGCGCAGAGACGGGGGGGCGGGCGCGTCGCCCGAGGGCCCCTGGGCAGAGCTGCTGGCACGGCCCGGGGTTGCGCCGGCGCTGGGGCGCCACCAGAGGGCTTGGGCAGGGCGGCTGGCCCCCCCCGAGGTTGCGCTGGCTGGGGCGGGGCCGCTGGCTCGGGCGCCGCGCAACGTGCCCGTGGCGCGCGTCGCGGGAGGCGGGTCTGCTCTGAACTTGTCCAGTTGGGCTTGGCGGACGGCCGTGATCGGGTCGCAACGGGGGCGCAGCGGCGCCTGCAAGTCTTAGGATTCCTAAAGAGGCCGGGAAGCCGAGGAGGAACTCCCGGCTGCGTCTGCCGGCATCTTGGCCTTCGCCGCGTGCCTGTCGGTGGCTGTTCAGGCGGTGGGAATTCCAGAGGTCTGTCGCTTTTTCTTGTTTACCCCCAGCGGGGTGGGTTTTTCGGTCTCTGGAGGAGGGCTACCAGGTGGGCAGGGGCAGCGGGCCACTCGCCCCACTGGATTCCGCCCAGGACCCCGCTGGGATGGCGGTGCCGCATGTTCTCTCGAGGAAGCCTTTGCAATCATCTTCCGACCGGGCCCTGGGATCTCTCGCGAGGTGGTTCGATCGGGGGGCGGCCGCTGACTCTGCAATTCGGCAGTCG